CAGCTCTCCTCAGCGGGATATCACCGAGCTTAAGGTCCGGCGAGTTGCTGCGCATAAGAAGACAGGATATCACTGAGATACTACCTGGGGTCCCTAACACTCATATTAGAATACACCTCGGTATCACCAAAGTCAACAAGATTGAGTACGTGGAGACCTCGTGTAATGCTTCGAAGGATGTGTGCGAACAAAGGGGGAAATGGTGCTGCTGCCACACTATGATTAGCCTCTGAGACACGACGGCCAGGCCACTCAGAATCTTCCACAAAAGCTATAAGAAGACTACGGCGGAAGTTAAAAGCTTGGCCCAGTTTCTACCGGACTCTATTGGCGAGGTGGACCTTATGCAGTCTCTGAAATTTTCTGGTAATTCCTGCCGTAGAAGTGGGACAGTATATCACTTGCGTGCCGATGCACCAAGGCCAATTATCAAAGGAATATCGCGGTGGCGCCACGACGCGATGATCGATACATATGGGGACGAGGAGGTCAAAAAGCTCGCCAGGCACGGAGCAGCTATAGTGAGAGAATACGTACACCGCCCTCTGGGCTAGGTGGATAGGAGGTGAACTTCATATAAGTCCGTAAGTCACGAACTCATGAGTAATTGTGATCGAGGCCCGCTGCCCGCATAGTCTGCGGATGGTCGGATAAGGTGTTTCTGGGATCACTAGGATTTGTGTTTAAGAGTGATTAGTAACAAGGCCACACCTGTGTTTCATGGGTTGGGGACCCGAGAACGGCGGAAGGGATCAGATCACTGACATAAAACCCAGGCGTGAACTTGCTAACACCCTTAATTAACCCGGTGGGCATTCAAGTATGGAGCTTCGAACATGCACGCGGGAGAGGTTTGGCAACATGAGGCGGGGGCATTCACCCGGGATCTGCACGGTGGCTGATTGGTATAGCCGTGTTTTATCCCGGGCACTGAATGCGTCACGGACGTGGACTGCTTCCCACATGGGTTTGTGAGATCCACCCTCGTCCGTGACATATTGCCAAAACTCCCATCACAGAACCTCCATCAACTGCGAACGGCATGACGTGAGTGAAGGTCTCCCAAGAGAGCAAGTTCACGGATAGCCGAAAGACAGATGACGGAATTTCAAGAGAAAAGCAAGACGTCAAGTCGTTGCTAAAGCAGTGATCCAGTCTGATCACCTTCGGAACATACACCCAAGAACAGAGAAAGTTCCCCCAGAGTGCTTGAGAATTCCTGTTGGAAACCCTCAAGCACTCTTAGTTAGGCATCAGACGAGCTATCTTGGGTGTGACGGTGTTTAGTTTTTTTTTTCTATCTGAGATGGGGGGCATTCACCCGGGATCTGCACGGTGGCTGATTGGTATAGCCGTGTTTTATCCCGGGCACTGAATGCGTCACGGACGTGGACTGCTTCCCACATGGGTTTGTGAGATCCACCCTCGTCCGTGACATATTGCCAAAACTCCCATCACAGAACCTCCATCAACTGCGAACGGCATGACGTGACCAATCTTACCTAACCGACCAGTCTCTCTAACAAGATTCTGGTTGTAGGGTTTGAGGTCTTGCATCACTTGGTGATTCAGAAAGTAACCATCGTTACCGTTTCCATCCCGGCGGAATGGTCCCCAGTTTTGTTGTCGAGTCCACTGGTGTTTCCAACCTTTGCGGAACGCCTGCCTTTGCCCTTGACTGCTTTACCCCTCCCTTATGACCATGAATAATAACCAGCCATTGAAACGAATAATACAGAAAACTGAAAGAAATTGAACCGACCACCGATAGTCTCAAATATTTTCAACCAGTTGAAATATTCTAGGCTAGTAATGGAGCTTAGCTCAACCTGCGCGAATAATCCAGCACGAGTATGTGGCTCAGCTAGCTCGGCTGAAGCACTGCGCTCGATAGAAAATCACGCAGTAGTTCTTTTCATAGTTGGCTTCCATGTCGACCTCGTGGTTAAATGTTTTCATTCCAGCCAATTATCCTGTCTAACATGCCTCTTTCCCGGAGTTTCGTTTCTGGGTTCCCATACTCAAGGTGCGTAGAACGATTTGATACCAAATTAACCTTCTGAGTTGAATGTCAACGATATCAATACCTGTATGCAAGTATACAGCTCTACCGGATCTGCTCAATTTTTATCCCGTCGTAAAGATCACTGATGCCAACGCAAGAAATAAGTTATCATCATCATCAACAACAACTCACTCCAACTGCAAGCATGCCATCACTGATCTCAGACGGCTACACCGATATCGAGAATCATAGCTACACCCGCGAGCACCCATTTAGCTGGGTTGTGTTTCGTACGCAATTGCGCAGCGAAAACGAAATATGGTCTTCTTTGCGGGGTACAGTAGCTGAACAGAAACCAAAACTGATATCGAATATTACGCAAAAAACTTACATTGGGCATATATACATTCCTTTCTCCCCTTTTCCGGTCTCATCAGCCAAACCAGCCTTGCAGTTGATCACTGGCATTTTACAGAACATTTCTTTTGGCTTGGACTCATCCAAGCAATTCCCGTTGATATCCCAACGCGCACCCTGCAAAAAATCACAAAAAACATTTTTTTCGCTCAACTCACTTCGAGGAACATTCCTGTCACATAAGCTCCTTCTCGACTGAAGCTCTCAATCTGAGATTTTTCTTTCTTGGTCACTTCCGTGAATACCATCAGTTTGTCCAACTCTAACATTTGCTGTTGACAACACAGTTGCTTAATCGCAGTCAAAAACGACTGCGGGTTGAAGAACTTGGATACGTCTACGACCTTCGGGACAGACGCCGGATCATTCGTCCACTCCTCTAATTGCGCACACCTGAGCGCAGCATAATCAAATTACTATATACAATCACACTAACCTTTCTTTCAAATTTGTCAACCACGAACGTAAAGGTCTCGTACTCGGGAAAGCCAATTTAGCCCAACGCGGTGGAATAATTTCCAATATGAGGGCATCAGTCAAATTTTCCATAGTTTCCGACATAGTCAACTCGCCCTTGAATCCTAATTGTAGTTCTTCCAAAGACCTACAAGAACGCGCAATCTGAAAGCATCAATCTGAAATTTTGTAAGGAAACTCTCCGATCATTATCATTTTCATTAAATCTGTCACGAGAACTTTCTTTCGAGAAAAATTTACTAATCGAAAAGATCTCCAACAAATTTGCTTACCTAACCATCTCGAAAATGAGTTCGTTCATATAACTGCACTCCTGCAAGAACACATACTGATAAGGACCTAACACGATGAAACATACATCTCGTGGACAGCTACCAATACCTACCCTTTTCCTCATCAGGCATAGACCGACTGATATCATCAACAGGGAATTTGATGTCTCTAACATCGTCGAGGATATCATTGCAGAAAGCCTCAGCCATGGCTAGCGGGGATAACGCCTGAATCGAGCTATATAGAAACTTTTGGATATCTTCCAGAAATCACTCAAGTGTATAGGGAAAGTACTGGAAAATTTCGTACAGTATAAGTTGATTATAACAACAGTTATTCATCGGAGTTTCGTCCGTTTTCAATATTTCCTGTGGAAAACGTGATATGAAGCGAATTGAGCACACTTGGCGAGTCACACTGGACAAATCACTCCAGGTTTCACGTAAAACATGACACGTGTTTTATGCGTTTTTTTGTTCATATTTTAACTAGTATTCTCATATCGTAGGTGAAACTCCATTACTCGTAAATTACAACATTTAGATAATCCATCGCTACAAAAACTCACTTCGCCCGCTTCTTCATCTGTTCCACCAGATCCGCCCGAGCGAGCGTCCAAATTCAAGAGCGTTTGGAATAACGTATTCGATTGCGCGCTTCGGAATCTACCAACAAGTATTGCAAAACTGCAATCGATTCAAACCAAACTCACCCTATTTCAGCATTCGGATGCAGTCCGAAAAACTGAGGAGTTTCTCCCGGCATCAGTTCGATATGTTCCAGATACCTACCGAACAGATTTTCCTCAACGCACGCGGAAGAATTTCTACTTCTCGTGAGAACTGGGCGCTGGTGATAAGAAAGTGAGCTTAGTAGGATCTGTGAAAGGCACCTGAAAAAGCAGAAATTTTCCGAGAAAAAAATCGAAAAAATTCACCAGTTCAGTTTCGTCGAGCAATTCATCATGCATGAAAAACTCCAAATATGTTCGACACAGTTTTCTGTCCCAATCGTCCACAATATGTCCACCATACATGATCTCGCCGAAAATATATCTGCCCAAAAAAATCTAAAATTATCCAACTTCTCCCACGCCTTACCGTAAATCGTCCCAAGGCACTTTGACTGAGGCAGCATTCTCTAGATAGTTATATAATACGCTCGCGGAATCCCTCAAATCACCGATCGAAAACGGGTACATCATGTTATATCCCAACGGTCCGAATTTCTTCCTCTCCAGCATAACACCATGGAAGTGACAAAGTCCGAATAAAATACTCTTCACTCGGGAATCGCGCTCCTCAAAATCTTCCTTGTTGAAGAACGCGAACGCACGGCGAAGATTTGCCAGAAGTCCTTGGGGAGGCTCATTCGTCAACTTAATCGATCGCTCCAAAATTCCTATCGGAATTCCATTGGAAGGATCCGCGCTTAAAAAACAGCGGAAACTCGGATGAGATCCCTCGATCGCGAAATTGTCCAATTTTTTCTCCAATTCTGTACACCATTTGGGCATCAGATGAATATTTTGCAACATAATCCAATGCCCTTCTTTATGCCCCAAATCCAACTTCGCCATAGCAACAACATCCTGGCCTTGCCCCATCGCAACGTTGTGGTAATTCACATTAATTTGCAACTGTATCGTCTTCCTCCCGAGTGCTTCTACTTCTTTCACAGGGTCAGCGCCAGGTGACAAAATGAAGAAAATCGGTGTTAAATTCGAAGAGTCCTCAAAACTGTTGGACAAAACTTCGTAAAAACTGCTGCTACCATCACAGTCCATATATTCACGTCCGTGCGGTAACGCCTTGCGGATCCAATTACCTGAGCGAAAAAACGTCACGCGCCACGAAATTCCCCAAATCTCACCCATCATTATTGTCATTCTATCAGGTCGCAAACATCTCAAAACCAGCATTTTCTGCAGAGGTTGATTGTCGAGCTTTTTCCAATCTAGTGGTAATTTTTGGTCCTCCGGGGCGAGCTCGTTAAACCATTCTTTGAATCGATTGGGAGCATCCTTTTCCATATTCTGCGCAAATGATTCGAATCCTTCCTGTTCTATCAGTTTCTGTACTGCATACCTGAAAATTTTTTTGGGAAAAAATCACAATATGCACGTGTTGGCGAGAAAATGATAATTTACGGAAGTTCATGTGAATTCTCTAAACTTCTATAAATCAGTGAAATGCCAAGCATACAGCTCCTCACCAGTTTGCGTTCGGCAGCCAGTCCGCGATAGGGTTTTCCACATCTGTCCGTATTGGTCCTCTTAACAAGAACTGATATTGTCCCGCATTATACGTCTCGCTCAGTAAGCCCCTTTGGAGTAGTTTAAACGTCAATAATGCGCAGAAAATAAGTTTATGCCTTTCGAATAGCCCGCGATTCACCCAGCGGAAAATCGTAAGTCTTATCGTGAAAATCAACGATCCGCATCGCTCCGTCACATCCTCCGACGCTGGTGTTCGCTCAATCGCTCTATACAAGAACGACACGAAACTGTCCAGAGAATATTGATACCTAAAATCGATCATAAATGTTCATCAGAATTTCACGTGAGCTTACATATGTTCGATGAAACACAATTGTATTATCAAAAAGAACAACATCGAACCCTCCGCGCTGACGGGACGATACTGCTCGCGCGACTCGTTGATTTGCACTTCCGTTTCGTTCGCCAATTTAACCTGAAATTACGAGACTGGAGTTTCACCCGTGATATGAAAAATACATTTCATATTTCATTTCGTAAAAAACAGATGTAAGCAGTGAATACCGAGTGACACGGCGTGATTTGTCCCGCGTAATTCGCCAAGTACTTTCAATGCACTTTATATCGCGTTTTTCACATGGAGTAATACATCACTTCACGTTAAACAGGTGAAACTCCAATAAATACCACATTTCTTTCACTTCACAACAACACCCCCTCACCTGTTCGTTGATCTCATTCGCCGTTTTCTTGGTAACTTCTAAGCCCTCGATCAGCGCGACGTTATCCAAAATCGTCGCGGGGTCCGCAGCGGCTAGTTGCGCCAGAAGATCATCTTCTAATTTCGCCAGAGTTACTTTGAATTCGTTCTGTTTCCGTACCTTGCACGAAAACAACAAATCCAGCGAATTCATAATTTCTACGAGAATCAAAAATGATAATTTCCTCACTAAAACAGATAATTTGATTTTACTCTGTGTAACAAATTGACAATGTTGTAGGAATATTTGTTCGCTTTCTTCAGCTGAGAACGCGACTTCTCCCGACAAAATTACGGTATAAGTATACAAAAACCAACAATTTTTCCACAATTTTCTTATTGTCACCAACACATGCATATTTTCCCACACCGTGAATGAATCTTCGCTGTGCGCGCAGAAAGTAAAAAATATCTTTCCATATCTTACCAATTCTTGTTTCTGTTGCTCCAATTCAGGTTTTTCCACGTTAACCACCATAGCTAAAATTTGATCTTCCAACCCCTCCGGCGTGACAATGAAGTTAATGATAGTACACTGAGCTGCAATTTCCGGTCTGAAAAACGCAAAAAAACGAAATAATTTTGTGGCGCAGCGACAAAATCTCGTCCAGTGTCGAAAAAGTATGTGTTTGATTTCCGCACTAATTGTATAATTTGGAAAGAAGTGAACAAAAACCAACAAAAAATTTTCGGAAAATTTCCTCAGAATTTTCTCAAGACCGAATTTTGTGACGAAGTGACGAAGTCCCATTCAGTGGTGGAGGAATACAGTATATGTTTGCTTCTCTCAGATGAGCTCAAAAGTTTCCTTATTAATCATAAAATCCGGATAAAGGTGTACAGAAACCAACAACAATTTTCCCGAAAATTTCCCCAGAATTTTCATAATTTCACCAACACACGTGTATATTTTCTCACCTATAGTGAGGGTTCGGCAACTTGCTCTGCAGAATCAGTTGGAATTTCTGATCGTAGTCGATCTCCTCCCCTCCAATTTTGATGACGAATGCGCTTCGACCCCTTCGGGAAACTTGCCTGAGCAGAAACCAATACACACAGCGTTTTCGCTCTGCTAAGAAGTGTACGAAAACCAATACGAATTTGCGTATCGTCACCAACACACACACTTTACCATGTAATAAAGACAACAAGTGAATACGCTATATTCTCTCAAATTCAGAAAAAAATCTCTCAAAACTGTGATGCAGCAACTTAACCAACACCTGTAGCATCATCATCTGCTAATCTGTCACCAACCAGTAACTCCATGTAATACTATAAAACCGTCACAACCGCCCGAGTTACCTCGCGAGAAGCGGTTCTAATATTGCATCTATTTCTTCCCCTACGGCTTCAATCAAAAGTTGTCCTCCCATAGAAACGCAGAAGAGAACTTTTTGAAGCCAGTTCGGTTGGGTCAGTTGAATCGCAGTCATCTCCTCGCCAAAACGCTGTTTGATCCACTTCACACCTGATAGTAAAATTTAGTGACAGATCTGGATAAGTGAGGAATAGCAGTTTCGAATCACCATGCGATATAGGGTGGTAAAGAGGAGTTTCCTACGAAAAAAAATCGAAAGAGTTTCCATCCTTTTTCACGGAGTATATGATCTACACTCTTCCGAATGGTATGTGTCTTGAGTGCTCAACTGACGTAATCGTTGAAAAATTATTTTTTCACAGAAAATTTTTTCTTTTTTACACACAGAAAAATACACAGAAAATATATACTTTTTTCGCTCCGCAATTTCCTTTTTTTTCGAGAGTTCTCTCGAAAGAAAATACCGAAGCCAATATGAATTTCCTCACAATTTCCCTATTGTCACCAATTTATGTAAAATTTGGCGAAAATTTCACACTCCGAATTTTCTGGTGAACTTTCCTTTGGGAAGCCGTCGCAAGCTAGGGAAAACGACGAGTGATGTTGACAATATGAAAAATAAAAATTTAGTCATTTCTACCAAAATTCCATAAACACTGAGAAAACAACTAATATTCCTCCAACTACACAAAAACAACGCCTTCAGTTTTATACTATCACCAAATTTTCGTAAATTAAATTTTACCAACTTTTTTATTATCATAAAATATCATTTTTCCCGAATTCCCACCTACCCTGTAATTGCGGATCGATGAGCAACGGCCATCTCGCACAACTTGTCACCACTGCTGCATTCTCCACTGAAATTCTATCAGCCGGTAAACCCTCGTTTTTCCATAGTGCAATATCAGCCTCAGACGCCAACACATGGAGAGGATCAATTCCCTCGGTGAAGGGAATTCCTTTGGCTTTGATATCATCACTCCAAACGTTACTCCACAAATCCAATCGGAAAGCAGCCGAAAACGGACTTATATACCTGAATAAAAAATCGTGACGTTTTTGCCCGTGTTAAAACATCCCATTCTCCTACCCAACAAACGCTGACGCCAACATAGAATCCCCAATCAATGTCAAGCTTTTTTCTTTCAATTCCTTCACCGTTTGCGTCCATCTCGCGTATTCGTCGGCGAGCCCGTCCACCAGGCGCTGAGCTAACTCCAATTTTGCCAGACACGCATTCGCCTCAGCTTCCGTTTGCTCCTTTTCCCTCACCGCGTCACTCAACGTTTTCTCCAATTTTGCCACTTTTTCCTCCACCGTTTTTACCCGTGCTAAAACAACCACCAACGCCGCCTCCGCATCTTCCTTCTGCTTAGTAGACTCCGCCACTTTTTCCATCAGCGGCGCCACTTTAACATAAATTCTATTATACTTAACGATATTCACAACCCAGTTGCACAGATACGCTGCTGCCGTTGATTTCGATTTCATAGAATTATAGT